TTGCAAATCAAAATGTTAAATTCGTTGCTACGTACGCGCCTTTATTTCTACACGGTTAAAAATTTCGGTTTTAATTTTAAACTTTTTGGACTACATATATGACCAAACTAAATTCAGTTTCAAATACAAACCTTCCAAGTTTAAAAAAAAGAGAGCACATATGTTGGGTTTAGAATTTAAACAATTCGGTTTAAATGTTAAACCCAAACATTTTCATAATTAAGAATACAAAAAAAAAACAATCTTAAATTTCATGCTCCGTCTGGTTGGGATTGAACCCGGACAGCCTCGGTAGCAACCAATTGTATCAAGCATCTTTGCACACTCAACTACAGCCACGCATGTAAATGTGCTTTCATATGTTGAGTTTGAATCAACACCACAATTCGCTGTGCAAACATATTCTATTTCGGTTTAGATTTTAAACCAAATTTTCTATATATGAAACCTAGAAACTAGAATTAAAACATTTTGGTTTGATTTTTAAACCACGAACTTTTTGGGCTAAAACTTAAACCAGAATATATTAAAAATTGCGTAAAACTATTGACTGGTTTAAAAAGTAGACTATAAAAGTTTAAAAAAGGCAGTAGTCCCAGCGCGGTTTAAAAATTAAACCCAAATTGCGATAAATTCCATCCATCGAACAGGATGATTAAGAATTTTAAGTATGACATAATTTATCCTAAGATAAATACAGAGGAAGAAAAATTTAAACAAAGAAAAACGGGCGATGCGTTTGAAACTGTAACTAATACATATTGATTTTCCTTGTATTTGTATAAGTAATTAATACAGAACAGGTAATAATAAGTAACCCGAAGTAGGAAGTTAAAAAAATAATAAAAACGTACATGTTCAAGTTTTTAATAATTTTATTTTATTTTGTTGCGATAATAAATATTTGTGCTATGCGCGAATAAACTTCTACAAAAAAAATCGTTTTTGAATTGCAATTTTATTTGAGTTTTTATGTTTGGTTTTGCTCAGAATTTTGTTGGCGACTAATCCGGCGATAATATAAATAAAATTTGGCGATTTTGGCGACTTTAAATTGAGAAACTGGCGATACCGCTTAAAAAAATACTGGCAACCCTGGAGCCAATTATTAGTTGCTCCTGTGAACACGTTGCGCTCGTAGGCGGTGTGCGCGCCTAATGCTCTGCACACTTAGGCATTGTGGAAGAATACAAGTGAGATATCTTAGGGTTGACAGATAGTTGACAGGGTGTTCAATATGGCGATGACAGTGTGAACAATACGGCAGCCAATATGGCATACAACACCGAATGGCCCGAAGTAGCCAAACTACGACCCGAATGAAACGCTTTGTGAAAATCCAGGGTTGCGAAGTGGTATTTTGTTGGAAAATATAAAAGCCAGTATTTTGTGCAGCGCCGAATTTTAACAAAAGAGGGTTTTGTGTTCTCAAGATGAACAGAAAAGGGTTTCTGTGCTGTTTCGTTTTAAGCTTATTTTAATCTTAAGGTATCTAATTAAATATTAAAAGGAGACAAAAATTAAAGCAAAAATTTAAAATATATGTACATATCTGAAAATTGTAAATAAAATATATATTTTCACGAGAGACAAATTAAATAAAATGGGTTAACTTTAGGGGAAATATACTTATCAGATTGGGTCAGATAGCGCTTTTACGTTATAAATAAAAATAATTCCTACTTAAATTTTATATAATTTTGGTAACGTATTTCTAAGCTGACCCTGAGATCTGTGAAATAATACATATTTATGTGCATATATTGTGTTGATTATGCTCTAAATCGCTAAATAATTCTTGCAGCAATCAGCACCATTGGAAAGTAAAGTGACAATAGGCTGGTTTTCTTTATACAGCCCGTTTTAAATTCGTATTATTGTTATAATAAATTACAATTATTGTTTGTTTCCATTTCGGTCAACCGCGCAAATTATTTATTAAAAAAATGTCGTTTAAAAATAGCAATTTTGTTTACTTTTGAATAAGACTTTATCGAGTGCGCTATAAAGACAGGGGGATAAATGCTGTAAAGAAATATATGTTGGGTCCAATCGGTTTTTTGCTAATCCGGTTTTTGTGTAGGTATAAACAAGGTATATTAAAAAAATAAATCTCCATGAAAAAATATCGTTATTTTCGTATTTAAAATTAATCGGAATTTTATGAGGGGTTATAAAAACTCGTTTTAATTGAAACTTTGTTTTTTTCGGCTATATTTGTTATTATTTATTGGCCCAGATGTAAATATTGAATGAACTAACATATTTTAAATATTTACGGAACTACCATTTGTATGCAACCCTGCCTATCCTGTATTCAAGTAGATGTAATTCGAAAAATTTAAACGGATTTCTTTAAATCAACCTGAGCTGCCGACATATTGCGAATTCATTTTAAAACATTAACCACTACATTATATTAGTATTAAATACTTTCAATTAAGAAACAATTCTTATTAGAAAATAAATATGAATCGGTTTATTTTAAATATTCCAATGTATATATTTTGTTAATGCAGATAGTGCGAATTTAACGTATTTTATAACCGTTACATGGGGAAAATAAATTTTAGGCAGATTGTTATTGACAATTTTTACATAATTTACGATTGCAATCAATTTCTTTCAAAACTATAATCTAATGATTGCAAGTTGTATTTTTTACGATCAAAACAGATTCCAATATTAGGTATATTATGCAAATGCAATCCAATTTGATTTGAGTTATTCAGTTTTAGATACATTTATATTTCTGTGTTCGTATGGAATAGTAGTTTATGTCGGGAAGCTGGCTTTAGTATAATCCGGCATTCCCTTTATTATTTACAACACAAGGAATTTTTTGATGACCCTTAACAAGAACATGGACGTGCTAGTATCGGAAATATTTCTTGCACGTTTATTTATCCAAAATTTCTTCAACGGCTCGGCGCCAGTGAGGATATGCTGCGAATGCCGCATTATACTAAAACCAGCCTTTCGACATAAGCTACTATTCCATACGAGTGGAGCACGTGCGAAATGCGGATTTTCCCAGTTGCAATACAGCAGTAACTCGACACCTTCCTCACCAACCGCTCTGTCCTCTATGAGCTTCTTAATGTAACTGCAAATAAAAGATGCAAATTTGAGAAAAAATACTATCACAGCGTTTCACTTGTAGCGTTTCACTCTTGTAGTATATTGGCTATCAAGCACCAGAAAATTTCCATCACGCATTCCATATGCCACCGATTGTCGTGGATCAATTAAAATACTGTCATCACAGCTTTTTGGTACTCCAGCAACTGGTGTCTATGGCGGACTTATGTGGAGCTGTTGCATGACTAAAATCAATTTGGGCTCTTTGAGAACTGGCTTGTTTGTTGCGCGCTATTGGCATCAAATGTATGCAAATTAGATTTCCAAACGGGCAACTGTTGAATACAGGAAAAAATGTATTTTATATGGTTCCGCTAAAGTGCACTACTACCGTGTATAAATTGGCCGACCTTCTAATAAATCAAGCAATCTTATTGTATCGTCATCGCCGCCAGTCACCAAGAAATTTCCACTTGGGTGAAATGCAACATCATTCTCCGGCGACGAATGCACTGTATTAGCTCGCCTTCAGCTTTGTCAAATATCTTAACGCGGTTACAACTTAATGCTAAAGCCACCAGATTGCCGTCTGGATGCCATGCCAGCTGTCGTCCCATACCTCTTCCCCCGGTGAACGTTCGCATACATTCGCCTGAAAATGTATCGCAAATTCTTAACTTGTCGCCGCACGATGAAATGAACTTACCATTAGGGCTGAATTTTGCTGCGCGCACCCATTTGTGTGTATTTTGAATCAGTAAGCACATTGTTGCATTCTACCGTACATTTTAAAAGCTTTAAAATCTTAAAACATATGTGAAAAACTTTTATAATCTGAATATTTCTAATGTCGCAATCAAAACCAAATTTTATAAATAGCATTTTTAAAAAGCAATCATCTAATATTTTTCAAGCTTTTGGGCATATATGTTACCATTTGAACAACAAATACTACCAAGTTTTAAGAGACTATTTAATGCAACTCAGGTCAAAAAAGCGCACTTTAGACCAAAATAAGCAACTCTAAAAAACAGATGATCGCAGCTGTGGCCCAGGATGACGTCTATTGCTAAGATATCTCACTTGTATTTGTACACAATGCACTTAGGACGCGACTGACGACTGACCACACGACAATAGCGTTTTATCTGCGTTATCTTTGCTCCCGTCGTCGGCTACTTGATTACAATGACTGCGCTAGCTACAACTTCTCCCGCCATATTTTATTTGACATTTGTGTTTTAAACGTATTTGCTGCGATTTCGTGAGAAAAATTTTATATTAATTTCGTTCCAATTTTCGATAAATATCTGGTAAATACGCATAAATCATTAATATTTTTCAAATCTTTCATATATATTATCATTGATTACAGGAATAATGAATAATCCCTTGCGTTTAATACAATTTACGACTGCAATTGCTAAAATTGTACAAATTGTACATTTCGCTTATGAGGCGTACAGTGAGCTTAATAAAAACAGGAGAAGATGGTGGGTGCGTCCTGTGAATTTAACCTCCCTCCATGCAGCTTCCTTCTTTTTGATATTCTTATAATCCTCCAACTCCAAATTATAAATAATTGAACGCTTCCGAACTTCCTCAATTAATAATTAATTCGTCGAAATCCATTTTAATTATCCAATTATTTATAAAAGCAAGGCGAATATTCAACAAGCACGCGCGAAATGTAAAGGAAAATAGAAAAAGCACAATGACAATTGTCCAAAAGAAGAAGAAGACAGCCTTGTGGCTTGTCAAAATAGAATTAGATCTAATACGGCTACAGCTACAATTTTATCTATTTGTCGCGTAGCCCTGTCGTCGCCAAAATAATTATCTACATAAGAATACGTGGAAAAAGAATTTGACAGCTGTGGTCCGTAGCTCGTGGTTTTCATTGTGTTCGGGCTCTAAGCATGCATAGCGTGCATGGTTCACGACGCGTGTGCGCTGTGACACATGTTGCTGTAAGTCAAAAACAGAAAAGATCTTACAAGTATTTTCATCAAAAAAAGCAGTTTTCGGAAATATAAACGAAATGGAAACCACTCATTGAGAACATATTTTTAATGCAACTTGAATATTTATAATGTTTAAATAAAAAAAATTAAAATTCTAAATTATGAGAATATATTTTTTTAAAGCTCTAATGTCACTACGCTTACAAAAAAAATTTCTTCAACTTTCGTCAAATAATTTAAGAGAAAATGAGTTATGAAAAAAAAATTGCTTAAATATATATTTGCTTATAAAATCTTTAAAAACTAAAATTTTTCAAAAAAATTATCGCCCGCATCGCCATCATAATTTTCATAAATTTCAGTTGTAACATCACACATTCGTAGAATATTTTTCCATAACTTTGTACTTTGTGCTCAGGATTTTTACCCCGAAAATTTTTTTCAAAGATTCCTAGGCAGGGAAACATGATGAAAATATGCGACTACTTTTGAAACACGAGTGGTATTCAACGGATTATTGTCAGACTCGGATTTCGACCAAGCGCAATGTAGTGAATATCATTCGGAAGGGGCTGAATGTAAAACGTACCCTTCCATCTTTGAAAACTTCTTTACTTTTACAACATTCTCCTGGCAGTCATCTTATTTTGAGTTTCTCATGTTGAAGATGCCATCCCTCGTACAAACAGCATATTTTTTTTTTGAAGTTTCGCCTAATGAATATCTTCTCTCTTCACAAAATTTGATAACTGCATCCATACTAGTGATGGAGAACTATCCATGGGGCTATTGATAGTATCGATGGTTTCATTTTGCCACCACTATCGAGTTTTTCTAAACACTATCGATAGTTGTATGTTGTTCACATTGTTGAAATTATAAAAGATGTTCTTCATGGTTTTTGTTATGAAATGTGTTACTGAAATACACGATCTAATTTTGTTTTACACAAAACATTTTTGTGTATACAATTATGGTTTTTGTAGTTACGAAATCGGTTATTTAAGAATAAGATTTTTTCATGGCTGTTGTTATCTTATATAGTAAATTAAGAAACAAAGAAATTTACAGGCGTTGGGATCAGTCATATCACTTGCCAAATTTTTCTTGGACCATAAAACATGGAATCAAATTTGCCGATTATTATGCCCAGTATCACCAATCAATTTTAAATTTGTCAGGCCGTTATAATTTAAATTGATAACAATTTTTAGGAGATTTCGCTATTTTAAATTTTCAGTTCGATACATTTTAAAATTGATTGGTAAATTTATATGAGGTGGTGTTACTAGCTCAGCTGATTTTGTGTATGTGTTTCGCCGCACGGCTTCTGATATCAAAATGAAAAATTTTGTTTGAATTTCTACACACACTCTTACAGATTTTGATAGTTTATGCCGCCAAAGCAAAAACAAAATATATGTAAATTTTTGTTTTTGTACTCCTGCTATCACCTTATATTAATTCGCCTTGGGTAAATCCATATAAATACGTAAACAAAGTTTGAAATTTTAAAGTAAAATGTGAGCAAAAGTGACAACTTAAAGACGAAATTCTCGGAAAAGTAAAATCAGCTGCTTTACTGAATATTCAAAGTCAGTGGCGTAGCCAGGATTTGGCGAAGGGGGGGATTAAAAACTCGATAACTTAAAGTTGTGATACGCAATGGCAAGAGGCGTCGCCTGAGGGCATTCTTTCATATATGTATGTATGTGCCATTTTGACCGTTATATATTTTTTGTCTACTCGGTTATTCCATGGGGAATTCATGCTTTGTTTAAATTTAAAAAATTAAATTACTACACCATTTGAATTAATTAGTGTGTAGTCCAGTTTTGTTTTGTAGAAGTTTCGTTAGTATACACTTCAGTTTTTACACATTGAATACATCTGCATATTTATATATTTACGCGTATCTATTTGTATTTATTTATGTACAAGTCTACAAAACCTTATTACTTATAAAGCGATTTTTAATCTTCGTTGGTTAACACACATTTTTTCAATTACTTCTTGTGTTGTAATCGACACATCATTATGTACCGCTAACATCGTTAAACCATTCAGCCGCTCCTTAATTGTATAAAAGGAAGGGGCAAATAAGATAGCATATTCAACAATTGGGTAAGTTCACTTGCAAAGTGCGCTATGTAATTTTTTTTTAGATTTTTAGTTTTTGGTGGGTTTCATGTGGGAATGTTCGGTATTGTATCGATTTTTCTGAATATCGATATTTCACTGCACGATAATTAATTTTTTGAATAGATATTCCAAGGTCGATATGTCGAAGACATCGATACTTTACCCGCAATATCGATATTTAAGTTGAAATTTATTTTTCATCTACAAAGAAGTGTATGGAAAAATACTAAAGTAGGTTTAATCAACAGCTTGTGTGATTTATTTAGCTCTTAAGTTTGACAAACCGCTTAAATCGACCGGCATGCCTTTTTAATCTATATATGTAAAAATAGTGGGAAAAATGTATAGTAATTCATACATTGAGAACGGTTGGGCCGATTTTGCAAATTTTTTTTTTATTAGTTCTTCGTTATTGCCAGAAGGTTTCTACAAAAGAAAATTTTGGGAAAACCTTCCGGGAAAGTCCGGAAATTAGAAAAATTAAAAATTGATTTTTTTGTATGGAACTTTTTGTGCAATTCCTTCGGAATGGCTTTGGAATGGAAAAATAGAAAATTCTAAGTGGAAAACTCGGAAAAATCCGGAAGAACGCGGAAAATTTGAATTTTGTATCGACGAAATTTTACATTTTATCGCATGATTTGATGATTTTGGTTAAGGTGGAAAGTTCATTGTGAAGCTTGGAAAATTTCGGATAATTGTGAAATTCATTGTGAGCATGAATCAATTGGGAACAAATTTCTCCTATGCTTCATTAGCATATAGGATCTATTCTTCTAAGTGGAAAACTCGAAAAAATCCGGAAGAACGCGAAAAATTTGAATTTTTTTCGACGAAGTTTTGCATTTTATCGCATGATTTGATGATTTTGGACGATGTAAAGGTGAAAAATTCGTTGTGAAACTTCAGTTGGGAACAATTTGCTCCCATGTTTCATTAGCATATAGGATCTATTTTTTTCGTTAAATGGGCCAGTGACTGATCTATTCGAAAAAAGTCTTATTTATGGTCTGATTTGCATGAAATTTGGCATAGGTAGCTTATTGCCAGGATTAACATATAGGGTACTTTTTCCGACAGATGGACCAGGGACCGATCTGTTCCAAAAAATCTTATTTATGGTTCGATTTGCTTCAAATTCAATACCCGTATTATAGATATGCGTAGAATAGAATTGAGTCATTATTTTAGCAAAGAAACAAAGGGTGGTAGAACCTCCCGCTGAGGCTTAGATTAAAGCAAAAAATCTCAAATACTATTCCTGCAAGTTCCTGCACCTTTGTGACCATCAACTTATAGTCATTTGTTGAACAGGAAAAACTGATTTTGGAAGTTTGATTACCTAAGGAAATTAAGAAAAAGGTGTTAGAACCTTCCACTTAAGCTTAAATTAAGGCTTGGACTTCTGACTTCAATACCTGAAAATATGATTCCTGTAAAAAGTAAATGAGTATAGGTGACCATCAGGGCAAGGTGCAGAAATAGTATTTGCAGAGATAGTAGTCTGTAGTTCTAGCTTGCATTTAAGCCTAGTTGGAAGGTTCTACCACCTTTTGTTTCCTTTCTAGAACTTCACAAATATTGCAAAAAACGCGATTTTTTGACACTTTCACCATATTTTTCTCAAAATGTGGAGCTCATGGACACTTTTTACTTACGGATTCGTAATCAGCGCAAAAAAACCTATCAAAAACAGCTTTACCATTTGCCGCATTCGCCCTGTGTTACCGACACTAATTATATAAAGAGCAGCTCTTTTTTTGTAAGAGGTGATCTCGCGAACGGCTGTACCGAAATTTGGACACCTACTGCAGGCTTTCGATATATCAAGGGAGAGTGACATCACCCATATATATCGAATTTTGCATACCGTATATCTCTGGAAGTATTTGTGGTAGTAGAAAAGGCGTGGCGCTCTCCAAACATATTGAAACTTTTACCTATCTGTAAATATATACACCCAGAATACAGTGTTTTCTTTCTTTTTATACCCGAGCGCACTTGTGCACAAGGGTATATTAATTTTGTTCACATAACGGTTGTTTGTAACAGCCAAAACGAATCGAGTTAGATATAGACAAATGTATACATAAATAATCAGGATGAAAAAAGAAATCGATTAAGCCATGTCTGTCTGTCCGTCCGTCTGTCCGTCTGTCCGTGTACACGATAACTCGAGCAAAAATTGAGATATCTCAACGAAATTTGGTATGTAGGTTTCCCTTAATCCAAGCTAGGTTGGTGTTGAAAATGGGCGAAATCGGACTTTAACCACGCCCACTTCCCATATAACGGTAATTTCCAGAAATACGAAAACTGCGATATTTTAGTAACTACTGAAGATAATTCACTCAAAATTGATATTTACAATAACTTTTAGACGAAAAATAAGAATATTATAAATTTTTGGAAAATGGGCGTAGCCACGCCCACTTATGGTTACATCTTGGTAACCGCTGCACCAATTTCTTCCAAACTTGGCACAGTTGTTGGCCTTGGTACAGCATAAAAAACCGCCGAAACTCTTTAAAATCGGACAATAACCACGCCCACATCCCATATAACGGTAATTTAGAGAAATACAAAATCTTCGATAAATCATTAAATATTGAAGCTAATTTATTCAAAATTGATGCTTGCAACAATTCTTTACCAAGAAATACGTTTATGGTAAAATTTTGGAAAATGGGCGTGGCACCGCCCACTTATGATCACATATAAGTATATCGGTAACCGTTCTACCAATTTGTACCAAACTCGGTATGGTTATTGTACTTGCCACGTGTAAGCAAAACGTTGAAAATTATTGAAATCAGACTAAAATAACGGCCGATTCTCATATAACGGTAAATTTAAGAAATGCTTGAAACTTCAATATTTCGAAATTGAAGGACGCTAATTTACTCAAAATTGATACACCTCAGCTTACCATCTAGCGGAAGGTTTCGGAAGGGTGAAAAAACATATATTTAATACTTGCGCCGGGTATTTAATGTTCGGCTCGGCCCGAACTTAGACTTTCTTACTTGTTTACAATAAATTTTTTTGCATCAAATGGTCTCAAATGCATCTTATTTTGGGTACGCAGTTTTGTAGTCCACTCAATTTCAGTATCATAAAGTGCCAGTTTTAGATGGCTATAAGTTACAGTTAAGTTCGTTGATTTTTGATAATTTTTTTGCTGATTATGTGCGCATTTTCTCCGTATAACGAATGCGTGATAGTTTTTTTTTTTTGTATTGGCAAAAATGCTTAAGAGTGTCAGTTTGTAAAATACTTATTCTGGTGGGTGGACTCCTCCTAAACGACCGAAAGGATTCTAATGACATTTTTTATGTGTTTGAGTAGGTCCCTGTATAGTTTAAGTTCACAACTTAAAACGCCAGGTGGCGCTGGAGTCGAGTTATTATTCAAAATCGTATTTGTGATCCGATTTAACTCATAATCGAGATATATATGTATTGGTAACGTTAGGGGCAATGCTGTGGCAAAAAAATATGCGCAAGGTGGCGCTGGAGCCGAGCTATGGCACCAGAGATCAAACTCAAATCACCCCCGTTAAACCAACCATCAGAACCATTGCGGTCCTTGCTTTACGTTCACTAAACAGAATGTGGACCATTGATACTCACCAGTTTGGAAATTGCCACCAACTATACTACACAGATTCAAGGACGATTCACCATCGAACCGCAAGGACTTCTTCCCAGTATAACGCGTTCGTCAGGTTATTGAAGACGGCAATGTAGGATATGCCTTCTGTCTACCACAAAACCAAACGTGAACGTGAATTGCTGACGAAAACGTTGGACCAAATGTTTCAATAAAAAAATTTATTTTGGGCGGTACGAAGTTCACCGGGTATGCTAGTCCTTAGTAAATATACAAGATGGAAATAACACAATTAGTTGAGTTGATAAGCAGATCTAATATTCTATTCAATTGGGAGTAGGATTTTCAACATCGATTTTTCCGATATCGATATTGTTCAGCCCGATATATCGCCGTATCGATTTGATATCGATACTTTCTTAAATATCGAACATTCCTAGTTTCATGTCCACTAACAGCAGAGTGAAAAATTTTTCTATATTCTGAAAAAAATAGCAGGAAATATTAACTACTCTTGCAAAAGTCGCTATGATAATATGAACTTAGAAAACTGCAAGAAAACGTGGTAGTTTCGGTGCCTAGTGGAAGAGGTCGCAAAAAAGAAGCAAACCAATCTTCCTAGAGGAGAGAACGCGAAAAGCTAGCTATGTAAAAGTTACTGTTTCAAAACTTGCAATATTAAATTTTTTAATATAAAATTTGCAAATCTACCATACTGCAATTTTATTTTTTTAATGGTATTAGGCTCTTATTTATAAAAATTTTCAGGTAATAAAAAAAGATACAGTTCGGATGTTACTTGTTATCGTAGACGTTTTTTTTAATTCATGGCTTACTTTTATAAAATCACATAACGCCGTTTGCAAGTGTACTACTCACATATTCATTAAAAGATAATTTGTCATCCGTCTGAAATAAAAAAACTTTTTAATCAGAAGGATAAAATAGTATCGTGTTATTAATTCAAAAGTTAATAATTGTAGTTCAATGACGAAGGGGAGAGATCTATCCCCCCCAAATCCCCCCCCTCTGGCTACGCCACTGTTCAACGTGAAAAGCGTTGAAAGAAACCTTTGAAAAGCTAAATACTAGTGAAATTTATTTTAGAAAATTTTAATAATAATCGTTAATGTCTATTTTCGATTCATACTCACAAATACCCAGTTTTTCTGCGCAAAATTATAACTTCAGAAACCATCTACATATGTATGTATAAAGGTTAGATGAGAAAACGACCGTAAAAGCTGATATGCAGCTCTCAAAAAACGGGTTAAGAAAAAAATTGCCATTATTTCGTATGTGTGACCAAGGAATTTTGACAACTGATACTTCACCAGCCTGTTGCCTCGCTCTTTCCTCAAGAAATAATGGAACGGGCATATATTTCTGTTGCAAGCATGGGTTGCCGTGTGCTTTTTTTCACAAGAAACTTTAGAAAACCGTAGTAGAAAGCGTAGAAAATTTCTTAAGAACTGCGTACTCCTCAAGAAAATTCTACACAAGAAAATTTCTTAGCCATTTCTTGTACGTCATTTTATATGGATTTTTTACTTTTCTTGAGAGCTACATACTGGCCTTAAGTCAGAAAGCCAATTTTCATTCTCCAATTGCGGGTAATGTTCCGATCTCAATTGGCCTATGTGTATATAAAAAGATTAAATTAAAAAAAACAACAAAATGGAAAAGAATGTCCAGCCAAGAAATATGTATTTTAAAAAGTAAAAAGAGCCTAAATGTTCTAAGCAAAGAGAAAGTGAGAAGAGCCGCACTTTGCTAAGCAACGAGCCGAGTTTGCCCACCGTTGCAATATATCAACTTGGAACTCAGCCATTCACCAATTTCCAATAGGGACTAAAATTTATATGTGATATCTGTGACCGTGGTATTACCGATTGAGCTGGAGACTGAAAAAATCTTTAATTTAATTTTAAGGACCACCCAAATGTACATATGTATGTATACATATATGCAGATATAGGTACATAGTTGCGACAATCAATGGTCCTACTGTTTTTATGAGGTTATTGTAAAGTTTAAGGAAAATCAATTATCTCCATATCGTCACTAGACACGAATAAAGGCGCGCTAGTGTTTCGACGGCGAAAAAAGATGCGTAAAAACAATTTACGAAAAAAAGTGCTTAAGAAAAACTTCGGCGATGAAAGACGCGTAATCATAGATTTATACTTGGCCAAGGACTGTCACTTCAGCATCACTCTCTCATCTCTTTGGGGAATTTACATACTGTTACGCCCGCAAAAATATTTCACCGCGAATATAAGTTTACGCGTCCTTCTTCGCCGTCAAATATTTCAACGCTCTTTCTTCGCCATCAACTATGTAAACAGTCTTCTTCGCTAGAGTTTTTTTATGCGCCTTTTTCGAGGTCAACTTTTGAGCTCACGATTTTATTCGTGTCTAGTGACGATATATTTTAATCAAATTACTAATATCAACCACCACTTCCCATATAGCGAACGAAAGGAAATAACTTTAATTTTTGATTAAAGAAAATAAAACCAATATCGTTCGCGCAGTTTTCAAGCATTTTCTTAAATGAAAAAGTTGCTTAATTTGTTCAACAAATGTGTCCACACAAAAATGAATTATTTTTTTATATAGTATTCTAATAAGTAATAGCTAGTTAATATTGTGAAAAAAATAAAATATGTATGACGCGCTGTAAGCCAGATTCACCTGAATTCTGACTAGAAACTTTACTATTTTTTCTCGCATTTTTATTTATTAAGGTAAAGATCCTCTATTAAATTATAAATACATTTTATATCCCGTTTCTCAGCTCACAAATGCACCTTCATATATACATAAAAATCAAGTTAAAGGCTTCTTATATAAATAAATATACTTAATCATTTTTAATTTAAATATACTTACAGACTTACTTCTTTGGGTCCGAAAATCCTCTTAAAGGTCTGAGTCTCAATAGAGAAAATGTAACCATTACTCACGGCTATGAAGCTATATTGATGTTCTATGGTTACGATTTGGGAATGGATATGGTATCATCTGCAGTAACAATGCCAATCACTACTACATCAGAGCCCAAAATAACCGAAAACAAATCAGTGGTCGCAACCACAGCAATGCCCGAAGTTATCACAATAAATATTCCAGATTTCAACACAGAAAACAGTACTGAAAGGAATTTGATAAAAGAGAATAATGTCATTACCTCAGATCCAGGTCAAACGGCTTCGCCTAGCATAATGGCGATAACTACAGTAACACCTACTGCTGTTGCTGAAAACAAAATGGGAACTACAACTGAAACCAGTCAAATTACGACATCATCAGAAAATACTACGATAGAAGCAACCACAGAAAACCCTGGGTCATCAACAACTTTTGCAGAAGAGGTAACTAGCGAAACAAATGAGGATACCACAGCAGCGAATCCTACGCCAGGTAATGATGTTGCCGAACTAGTGGGTACATTACCCACCGAAATCAATTCAATGCCCTTTCAGAGGTTACAGAAATCACGTCCTTTCCATCAACCAAGCGTCAAACTGCTAGCTCCTTTATCGTCGATTGCTATACCCAAACACAACTATTTGCCGCAGCATGCGCAATTGCGAAGCGGTCGTCATAAACGACATTTACTTGCCTTAAAGGAGGACAACAGTAATCTTTTCGTAACACTTTTCAGTCCGCAACACCAACTACACCGTGATTTGTATGCGATATCTCATTCAGGTACTGGAACTGCGGAGCGTGGGCAATTCACAAACAAATATGAAGTTGAAACGCTGGACTCGCGACTACTGAATGTGGCAAACACCAAGAGCAATTATGGTTTTAATACAGATGTAATAAGTCACGTATTCTACTTAGGGAACCATCAACTTATTCACACAACATTCAAAGTTTACAATGCGGTTTTGTATTTTAAATATTTTGAAGAATTAAAAATGAGTGCTCTTGAACTCGAACTGGATACACCTGAATATAATTTGATGATTTTACTACCTGATGATCAGATGGATTTGGTAGCGGCGACGGCATCACTTGGATTGGCCCCATCCTTGCGATATATAAGAAAACAACTAAAGCCCAGATGGGTTCAAGCTATTATACCAGACTTCAGACTGAATGGAATAATGTTTCTTACCAATGACCTTCAAAATGTAAGTGATAAAAAATAAGTATGTCGACAGGCTGGCTTTAGTATAATGCAACATACGATTGCGAATGACTCACTGGCGCCGAGCCGATGAAGAACTTTGGCAAGTAAACGTGCAAGAAATAGTTCCGATAATTGCAAGTCAATATTCTTATAAAGTCTCATCAAAAAATTCCTTGTCGTTTAAAGAATAAAGGGAATTCCGCATTATACTAAAGCCAGCCTTTCGACATAAGCTACTATTCCAAACGAACACAGATATATTCTGAACGTACCCAGAAGAAATTTTATGCATACGACATTGCTGTTGGTGGCATGAGCTTGCTGCTGTGTATACATGCCAGTATAAATGAATCTTCATTTCCATTTAACACGCGTGGTTTCTCAGAGCGTATGCGTACTCTAACCATAAACTTGTACTACGGCTGTATGCATATGGCTGTATTAATATTTCAAACATACAAAAATCCATTAATGGAACAGATTAAAGCATTCTTACAAGATATGTGTCCCCATATGAAAATGCTACTTTTCTGATACATTTTAATATATAATATATGCAAAAGAATATCTTAAAAAAACCCGTTTGTGCTGAAAATAGTATCGCATAACACGTCCGTTCACCAAAATTTTTGTACAAATAAAAAAAAATCCCACTTCAAATCAGTTATGGAATATGGTCGCAAGTGCATGGTATCGAACGACAGCCTAATATAGTACTGAATCCAATGAAATAGTATCGAATTTTTTTCTAAGTTCACATTCAAAGAAAAATATGGTTTTATAAATCTTTTTATTAAACAGGACTTCAGAGTTAACAAACACAACAAAAATGCTTTATATTTTTAGTTTAATATACATATGCACATATTTATACATATATAATGTTTCACATTAATATACGAATATATCTTTTACATTTATAATGTAGAAATAAGTAGCTTCAAAGTACTTTATCTATTCTTAGGTAATTCAAAATTATAGCAGCATTTTGGCTTTTAAAAAATCTTTTGTTTGTATTAAAAACGAAACAGTACTGACTTGTAAACGATTTCGCAATTTTGTTTTGACTAGATTTTGGACAGAAAAAACACGTTCAACACTGGCTGAGGGATGTGGAATAGATAAAATTCCTCTAACAATCCTTGAAATGTTTTTGAAAAGAGGCTCGTTGAATTAATTTTTTAAACAGGAAACTTTCCCAAAATTCGGCGATTCCACAATTCTTAAACGATTTTAGTTCTTCAAATTCTGATAGTGACCAATATTCATTGTTAATTTCCTCTAAGTATTTAATCTCTTTGGGAAAGAGTCTAATAATAATTGGTACAATAGTATTTGTTTTACCCTACAAAACATGTTCGGATGTAAATTTAGGCATGAAGTTTAACACTTCATCATTAAAGTTATTTTTTTTTCTTAAAGACTCAACAAATTTGATGTAAAAACTCAAAATGTTCCGTTTAAATTTTAGAACATCTTCATCTGATATAACATCTGACCCAATCAATAAATCTACTCCAACTCCGCAATACACCTCGCTAATAGATAATTGATCTTCAAGTAAATTAATATAGTTTATACCTTTATCATCTATTGCATCTTTCCTTAAAATATTCCTTGCCAAATTGTGAAACAAGAACGTAATTCTTGGAAGAAATATATGAATACGCGCATCCTCCGACTGCATTTCCAAATTAATATCATTAATTATTTTTAAGACGTATGATAGGAAAAGAAAATATAGTTTTATATAAGAACTTTTAATTGACCGTGCAATAAATTCTACATTGCCATCCATTTCAAAGTTTAAAGTTTGTTAGTGTAAAATAACACTGAAGTGGCTGCCACTGTTCTAAAATTCTGTCGATTGCTGCTTGCCTGGAAAGCCACCTAGTATTAACATATTTTAGTATAGTATGTTCTTCCACAAAAAAATATTTTTGAAAAGACAAAAAATCCTCTTTTCGAGACGAACTGTTACAACAGAAATAAAAATTTATGGCCTTAATCAGTTTATCCACGTCATTCGGGATCGCATCTGATGCAGCCGCCGCAGCGAGATTAAAAATATGGCAAATGCAACCATTCACAAAAAACTCAGTGCGTGTAGTCCCTACGCGCGGAAGAAGTGAAACTTAATAGAGGAAATGCCAGAAAGAAAGAAAATGCGATATCTATACACATGTACATATTTTCTGATATACAAAAATCATATTTATTTAAAATTTTTTTCAACGGCCTTTAATTTTTTATTTTTTATAACCAACTGCAAAGTTTAATTATTATTGGTTCCTGTGAAAACATCCATATCTACAATATTAACTAGTAGATTTTGGTAACTAAATTAAGATATGAAATGTTTTATTTCATCTTCATCTCCATCTTCATCTTCATCTTCATCTTCATCTTCATCTTCATCTTCATCTTCATCTTCATCTTCATCTTCATCTTCATCTTCATCTTCATCTCCATCTTCATCTTCATATTCATCTTCATATTCATATTCATCTTCATCTTTATCTTCATCTTCATCTTCATCTTCATCTTCATCTTCATCTTCATCTTCATCTTCATCTTCATCTTCATCTTCATCTTCATCTTCATCTTCATCTTCATCTTCATCTTCATCTTCATCTTCATCTTCATCTTCGTCTTCATCTTCATCTTCATCTTCATCTTCATCTTCATCTTCATCATCTTCATCTTCATCTTCATCTTCATCTTCACCTTCATCTACATCTTCATCTTCATCTTCATCTTCATCTTCATCTTCATCTTCATCTTCATCTTCATCTTCATCTTCATCTTCATCTTCATCTTCATCTTCATCTTCATTTTCATCTTCATCTTCATCTTCATCTTCATCTTCATCTTCATCTTATCTTTATATTATTATTGCATTAGTATTTTCCCGCCCAATTGGCGTTTAACGCAGCTATTCGTTTTCTATACCCGTCATATGCTACCTGTACCGTGGCGTTAAATATTTATCGCAAACATAACGGAGCTATAATAATAAGATTTTCTTCAATAATTTGAGTTTAACTTTTTACACTGGTGGCCACCCTCTTCAGGCACCTCAAAAATATAATAATTTAACTAAATTTAACTTTTGAAACAGATGGCAACCCTCCTTCATTTAGCTAGAAAATACAACTTATTCAAAACCATTTCTTTTGATACCCATATTGGGATAATTCGTTTAACTTAATAACTAAATTGAATTTGATTTTCGTATATATGGCAACCCTTTAAAAGACTAAAACCATACTGCACATCTGCAGGTCAAGCCCTTTCATGTGACACCTCATTTTTGAAAATCGTACGAACGATACAGATTTTATGACGTGGTGTTAAATATTTAACGCAAC